AGGACGGCAGAGGATGAGATGGTTAGATAGCATCACTGAAGCAATGAGCATGAAACTGAGCAAACTCAGGGAGGCAGTGAAGGACAGGAAGGCCTGGTGCAATATGGTTCATGGGGTCATAAGAGTCGGACACGACTTAGCGACTGAATAACAACAACTGATTGCTAGACGTCTTACTGTTTTTGAGAGATATGCCCTCATGTCATTGTCTCCGTATCATCATCAGGCTGAAATTATCAACTTGAAATCAGCTTGAATTAGATCTTCCGGTGTCTCCTCTCTTCCCTGGCATAAAGACTTCTCAAAAGACCATCTAGGGCAACCCTGGGAGTAGCCTGGGAAGGAGGCAGTAAAGATCAGCAATCTGCTCTGTCCTGACTGCCCGGGCAGACCCCATGGAGGAATACTCCCTCCTCATTCAGTCACTGGACACTGGGCCTCCAACGCCATTTTGGCTGTGGCTAGGGGGAGACCGGATGCCTTGCCTGTATAGCCTACTTCGGAGGTGGGTGGTTAGATATGGGTATATTGATCTCCTGGAAGACTGAACATGGGTCTTCCCTGTCTGAACAACATGTCCAAATTAAAAAATATCCATCCTTTAAAAGTCTCTGGAAACCTTGTGGAAAAGCCCTTCCCTCACTGTGCACAGGCGTTTAGTTTCTTAGCAGCATTTCCTAGACAGAAGCACAATGCAGCGGCTTGTATTCGCCAGCAGAATATTGCTCTCTCAAACTTCCAATTATGCCCAGGAGCTACTACTGAAGTGTAATGTGATATACATTTTATATCAATCCTGTTGGGTGGCCTTAGCCTGGGGGAAAATGTTTAAGGGACCAGATGTATTGATCTCAAAGCAGTATAGCAATCTTTATCATCCCTCGTCCCCCACTATCCTTGCAATGTCTTGCAAATTGGGGGCTAATGTTAAACCTACCAGGGGTGCATTTTCAAGAATGGGCAAGTGGACAGTTTTACCATGCACATTTGGGGTAGTGTCAACAGGCAGGGTAGGATTTAAATCCCGTCAGATGGGAGGGGGATAAAAAGAAGAATAGAGAGGGAGGAAAGAGGATGGAAGGAGGAAGAAGTTCCCAAAGGGAGACCTGCTTGTTAATATTTCACATTCAGAGAGAAATTCTGATCTCCTGAGAAGATGAGACACCACCAAGAAAATACCCTGAAGAATGTCCTCCTTGTAACTGAGCTGCATATATGACTCAATTGCTATTCCAGTGGTTTCAACAACAAGAAGAAAGAGAGATGGGGAGAGTATCAGTATGCAATACTCTCTTTCTGGCTGTATTCAAATATTCTTTTATGTGAATTCTGTTTATCTGGTGTTTATCACCAATATCTTTGGCTATTTCTTGCCTTTTTGTGACTAGGTTAGTTCCCATGCATACACAAAGTCTGTCACAGCATATTTTCCTGGTTTTATATAGCCATGTAAAAATGATTTCATTATAGTGATGAGGATGACAATCAACAGAATGTACTATGTGATTTCTGATAATAAACTGGCTCCAATTTAGCTGGTGATTCATTTTCAAACCAGGAGAAACCAAAAGTGGGACACTGAGCTGCTGATCCAGGGCAAGATCCCCCTGCACACCAGCTGCTCCAGGACCTCCTTCAGATGGGAGGATGTTCAGCTTAGTTGGTGGATCCACCTGCTGGGCGTTTGCCTCCTTACTGTGAGAAGTGCACAGTAAATAGAACCCTCCCCAATCTTGTCCTGCCACACATACCAGAGAGTGACTAGTGTGTGGGCGGGGGGGTTGTCCTGCGCATAGCAAATGCTGGTA